TCCAGCAGTACTTTCTCCACTCCTGCAGAACAGTTTCCGGAATTGCTGAAGCTTCTGGGAGCTGGAAGTGCATGTCCCACTGCTGTGCACTGTTTCCATGGTTGTATGACGGTGGAGTAATGTTTATTATCAGTACTGTAAGTCCATTTTATTAGCACAGCTACTGCTTCAAACACTTCAACTTTTTTTTTTTTTAATGTTAGTGGGTGTAGTGGGGAAATGCAAACGCAAGGCTTGAAGCAGTGATTGAGCACCTGTTGGGAAGGCAGGGCCAACCCTGGGTTGCTTAGGTGCATGCAGTGCACCTGAATGACCAGAAGTGGTGGAGCCAGGATCCACACCTTCTCAGACCTCATTTAAGGGTTGGTAGTGCATGCAAGAGTATCTTCTCTGGAGATCCCTGCATACCTGATGACCTTACAGGCCTTCTGAAGATAAGCAGTTTCTTTCTATTATTTCTGTGCCTACTGCTATTGCATATAACCAGATTTGCGCTCGCTGTAGCTTAAGACCTTGCTGTACTGCTGTCTTGTTATGCTTTCTGTTGTGTTGTAGTGGGAAGTGCAACAGCACCAGTGACTTGCTTAAGAAATATCATTCCTCTGATAGTGTCTGATCTTCTTATCCAGGAATATCTTCCTTGCTAGATTTTGTCATTCCCTCAGTCAAACCTTACTGGTGTATCTCTGCGTTGGGAGCACAAACCAAGAAGCGGTCCCAGGAGATGCCTTTGCACAGGGGTGCAGCAGCAGATGAGGAATGGCTCTGCATTTTCTCTTGTCTTGGTTTCCCTGGCATAGGGACCTCCTGGTGGATGTGCTCATGATAGGTGAGTGGTCAACCCCTAAGCTCTCATGTTGAGAGCAGGTCTGGACTTTCTAGAGGCAAAAGAAAACTGTGTTCTGTAGGTTATTTTTTTTTTGTTTGTTTGTTTGTTTTTTTGGTGTGCATTGCATATGTGGAAAAAAAAGGAAGAAGTAGAATAGAGTAGCTGTTCTTCTGTTATCATGATGTTAGTTGGAACATGGAACATTTTGTTTACACCTAGTGAGCAAAGCTTTGTCTGTAGCATCTGGGTAGCTGTAACTGACACCAGCAAAACAAACAACCTCCAAATAAAAAAAAACCAAATATTTTTGCTAGTAGAACATCTGTCATCAAAGGAAATGGCTTAACTGCACATAGAAAAATGTTTTTGTTAGGGGTCTCATTTCCATCAGGAGTTGTAGCATCACTTTACTGATGCAGCTCCTGCAGTGCGGATTGCCCCTCTTTGTTCTGCCTTTGCTTTCATTCCAGTTTAGCCTGGTAGAGCCGCCTTGCCTGCTTTCAACTGGAAGAGCTAAAACATGACTGTGTGTTCTTAGCTGGGAAGATGAGTGTAGTGGAGCAGGATGATAGTTACATGCATATATGTACTTGTGTATTTTGCTTTCCTGGGGGAAAAAAATTAAAACTGCAACTTCACAGAGTGCATTTTTGAGGCTGAGGTGTTTGGTAGAAAATGACGCATCTGAGTGAACAGCATTTGGTACTTTGTTCACATCACCGTGTAGTGCTGCCTATGTGGTGACTTTAGAGATACTTAATACTCAACTGTTGCAAAGAAATTGTGTTGGCCAATCTTGTGACTTAAGCTCAGGAGGTTGTCAAAATGTATCTGGGGGACAGCAGTTAGTGCAGTTTGGTATTCCTGTTTCACCTGTCCAGAAAATGTATTTTTTCTGTGTCTGGAGCTTGAAGACTTGGCCTAAATAGCAGTAATAAGGAGAACTGATGATACTAGATGTAAGCATCATGCCTTCAACAACTCAAAGTAGACTTAAGGGAAAAAAGTCTCCTTTTTTTATTTGCTTACGAATCTGAAATAGGTTGGTCACCATGCTGTGCGTGAGGAGAGGGATTGGTATTTTTTTCTGGGTGAATTCAATTATTGCTGTCATACACTGTAAAGGACTCCAAACTGCTGGAGTTGCATAGTTTTCTGAGTTTCTGAGACCCAGCCTCCTGGGTTTTAGGTGTAGTACAGAGTAGTGTGTTGTTAAGAAATTGTCATGGGGATCCGGAGAAATGGGCTGCCTTGTACTGTGAATAGCTATGGCACAATCATTTTTGAAGCTAACAGAGGTCTTTGCCTCCCTTCTCCCTGTAAAGAGTTATGATCTATTTTTTTTTTTTTCCTTCTCAGCTGGTCTTATGTACTTCTCAAGTCACTTTCTTTTCCCCTTAGCTTAACTTTGCCTTAGCTCTCCTTCCTGCCATCTGAAGATAAGTATTTTGGGCAGCGGGTTTGGTTTTTAAATCCCTGCACATCATTTACTGTATCCATGTCCCTCAAGTTCTGTGCGTCTTTTTAGTAGTTGTCAGGCCATCATCAAGCAGTCTGTGGATTAGGATGCTAAGATGCTTGATAGATGCTTAATGCCATACAAGGAAGAAAGGCTGTACCTCACAGGTCAGTAATTTCCAACCTAAAGTCTTTCCTTGTCTTTAGGGTCTAGGAAAGGTGACTGGTAAAAGCAAGAGGTACTTCTAAACCAATCTGCATATAAAGTGTCCAAAACTGGAAAATATTTTTCACAAAGTTCTTTCTATCGAGATCACTCATCTGTTTTGTTCTCTGATAGGTACTTTAGAAGGCAACTTTGTGACTTAGCTATGAGTAAGACTCCTTTAGGTGGACACATAGTATCTGATTCCTCTTTCCACTGTTGGGTCGAACTCCTCCCGTTCCTAGCGTTAGGTTAGAATGGAGAGAGGAGAGAGAATCTTTGTTTCAGGTGGTAGAAGCTAGCAAGAATGTCATCCTTCTATAAGCTCTTATCTGCCATTAAGTTACCTTTGTGGGGATCTTACAGAGGTGGTATTTGCATCAACTTTTTTTCATATGCAGAGCTGGTGTGCTGACAAAACAATTGACTGTGGCCAGGAGAGAGGTTCCCTTCAAAAACTCTGCTGGAAGTCAGGAGTCCTGACTGTTCGCTTTCAGCTTTCTTTGCTATTGTATAAATGGCTCGTCTTCTGACAACTCTTTCTAGTAGATCCACCCAAGAAAATAATTTTCTACTAGTTGTCCTTTGTGTCATCTGACAGAAGCTCTCAGCACCGTTGGGGTCTCTATAAATAATGGTCTAATTTGAATTACATTTGTCATTAAAAAGTTGCAATTCTAAGAGTTGTAGATGCACCAGGCTTGCTGTTTTTTCTCATATTCTGTATTTGTTACTATTGTACTCTTCCTTAGATGATCCTCATGGGCTAGAAGAGACCCACTTTGGGGTTTAACTGAACTGTGCTGTGTAGACATAACTTTCTTTTGTGAAGAAAGTTCTTTGCAGGTGAACTAGGAAGGTATGTAGGGGATGAGACAAATGAGATGGTTATGTTTTCAGAGTCACAGTGTTTTTTTGCTTCTAGAAGTGGATTTAATCTTGTCTCTGCCACAGAACACCCTGCTAATCAGGTCATGCAGTAAACTTGCACAGGACCTCTATCAGCTGCCCAGCTTGAAGCAGGGCTGAAGATTGCCAATGGGAGAAATATGCTAATTCTGCCCCATTCTGGGGGTTGCTGTACTAGCATATTTTGCTGTGAAGGCTCAAGTTCAGTTCTTGGTGTGTTTGTATTCCTGGCTTTGTCTGGGATCTCTGTTTAATATAGTGACGATATTCTCACTGTCAGACTGTACAGTTCATCACTGAAAAACAAACCTAAACCCTCATGCTGAGGATGCAGCTGCTGATGCTGGAGGGTTGGAGCAGATTGATACAAAATTTTAATATGCAGTTACAGCTTAACTGCAGAAATAACGCTGAATAGCCACTCAGTACAGCAAAGGGTGTTGGAATCTTGGAGAAGTCTTTGGGATTTCACAATCTTCGTCATCTGTGCAGACAGAAACTGATGTAAAGTTGCAAAACTAACCATGCTTCTGTTGTTTTAGAGTGTTTGACTTGCTAACTCTTAAGCACCATCTTAAGACAGAACACCTGAGATATTCAAACCTAGACGCTTCATGCATTTAAAGAGCATCTTGGAGTCCCCAGATGCCTTTGTTACAATCACTTTTGTTGATGGATGCATTTAGCCTGCAAAGTTACTTTTTTAGCAGCTTGAGCTGAAATACTAAAGCTATTAAATATGTGAGATTAATGGAAACTTAGTGTCTCAGGCTCAGGTGTTACACTTAAATTGGGGAGGAAGGGGGAGCCTATTTTGTGTGTTTAAGAAAAAGAAGTTAAGTTTGCTAGAATAATGACAGTTAAAGTTTAATTCTCTGTTACAGTAGTTATGCAGGAAAAACCATGCACCACTTAATGGATCTAATGTACTACTTCTCTAAACCTATGTAAGAGATCAGTGCTGAGGAGCTGTTCTGCAGTTAATAGCAAGCTTTGTCATCAAGCTGTTCTGCTGACTGATTCACTCCTGTGAATGGGGCTGACAGCTCAGACCTTCTCAGCAGCTCACAGAACTGGTAGTTGAGCTATTTCCAGAACCAGGATCTCCAGGTATTACCTGTTTTGATTCTCTGAGGAGAAAAGCCTACTGTTAAGGAGGAGTTAGTGCTTCTTACAATGGACAGATCTGTAGTCAGCTAGTTTTTCCTAGCTCTGCCCAATTCTATTCTCGTTAGAACGAATAGCAGTATTATAGGAAGCTTATTTCCTGGAAACTAGTCTTCCTCAGGACAGTATTGCTTCTATCCTAGAAGGAGCTGGGAAAGACAAAGGAATTACCAGAAATGCAGGAAGTGGTTAAATAATCAGCATCTCTTTAACTGTCAAGGAGACAAGGCACAAGAGTCTGTCAGCAAATTAACAAGGTCAGCCCAGAAGGGGTCCATCCTTCTGTCTCTGTTCAGTAGGAGGAAAGTGCTAATGCTCTGTATCCAGCCTAATGACTGGCAAGATTCCCCTACAACTGTATCACTTGTACCTCAGCTTCATGCTAGCACATCCGTAGGTTAAGACTTTAATATCACTGTTACAGAGTTGGTATAATGTTCATAATTTCTTTATTTGAGTAAAGTATGTACATATTTATCAAGAGAGACAATTCCACTATTTTCCAGAAGTATGTAAGACAGGAATTTTCTTGGCCATATGGTCATTACCATTTTGTCAGTTTCCTTCCAGAGTCTATTCTGATGTCAGAACACTACCCTTGCGAGTTCAAACATAACCTGTGAAAAAGCAAACACATCATTAAATCAATGACCAATTCTTAGCAAGCTTTAAAACAGCTCAGAAAATAACTGTAAGCCAGAAAATAACTATAGCTGCAACTCAAAAGCTACTTGCAAAGAACTGAAGACTTGTACATTACATGAATAAGTTAATAATGAATAAGTTAATCTTGATTTTTTTCAGATTGAGGTATATAAATTGCACTTATTACATTCTTCAATGTGGTAGTGGGGAAAAAACCCACCCCAACCAACCTCTATGGTGATGAGTATTACTATCATCCACTCGAGGCGCAGAGCATGCTTTTCATTCAGGTGATTTCGCATTAGGTCTGTCAACTCCATGCAGTGCTGAAGCTTTTCATTCATTACCTGCAACAGATTTCAAACACAGGGCAAAGCTGGATTCTACACGTTGTATGAGATCACTAAGGAAACAATCCATAAAGGGGCTCACTGCAGAAAGCTGTTAACGTTTCTGTGAAAGTGCAGAATGCAAAGTCTTGTAACATGCACAAGCAATGGGAGTTCTAATACAACTCTTATTTCAACAGTCATAAAAAAACAAATACAAGTTTAGATATGCATATGCAGGTGTTAAACAGCTACTGGGTGACATTTAGTCACAAAACAATGCAAGCAAATGACATGCAGCTTATGGAAATGCCTCAAAAGTAGCTAAATAAGTATGTAAGGTTGCTGTACCACTGGAAGAGGTATCTCATGCTTATTCTGGTAGAGCAGTAAGCATTACATTGCCCTGCAATGAACTGACCTGGATGATCATGTCATCAGTAAGAAGACTGCTTCACATCACATTTTTTTTTTTTTTTTAACTTGTTTTCTTGCACACACTTCAGAAAAAGAATTAAAGCTCCTCTTCTTACAACTATTTAAAGCCTAAGTTAGTGGCTCAGGAAGTACAGAATCCATTTAAGTCTAGGTGGTTGAGGCATGGTTGTTAACCTAAACTGGGTAAAAGATGTGAGTGGGTTACGAGCACAGAAAGGGGGATGGTGTACAGGAGCCTATTGGTCTTTGACTTTTAAAAAATTAAAACAGACATTTGTGGAGCAGTCTGTAGCCTGGCTGAGCCAATGACAGTTGAATGCAATATGGAAAATTGTTACAACATAAGACACCTACCTTAACTCTGCGATTAATATTGAGAAATTGGCATGTTTTGTCATAAAGCTCTTCCAGTTTTTCTCTATCCCAGTAGAAGTCAGGTGTTATTAGCAGGTCTGAACTCAGATTTATGCGATGTCTAAAAAGAACGGTTACTGCAGTAGTTCAGAGTTCCTTTTGGTGCATATAGGAGCAAATATTTACACAGTAATTAAAATAAAAATTACAAAATTTTTCTTGTTCAGTAAAATATGAGAAGGATCTCATTCATAATAAAAACGCACATGTAGTCACTGTTTAAAACTGGTAATATCTCCTGAAACTTTTCCAAGAATACTGTAACATGCACACCTTATGCATTAATTGCTTGTCGTTTTTCGTGACTTATATTTGTACAGAAGTCCTTCACTATGCTGGTAGCTCACTGAAGATGATCAATATGTGAATTAAAGTTACAGGGGAGGTCCTTAACAGAGTTCTCAAATAGAAACAAGCTTAAGTGTGACTGACAGTGCTCACTGGGGATGAAAGTACAGTTCAGAATCAGGCTACTGTCTCAACATTATAAAGGCTAGGAGATAAAGTCTTCAGTATTCTCAGGCTTTTGTATCATGCACTACTTGATTTTTAAGTTCTGTATGATACGATCTTCAGCGTAACAAAAAACGTTACCTTAATGCAAAAAGTTCTCCAATTTTCTGCATGACATCTGCATGAGATAGTTTTATCTTCCTTCTTGATTTTAGGATCTGCAAAGTAACAAGTTTTACCTGCCTGATCAAATAGCATTTACTAGTGGTTAAGAAGTCTAAAGTTGTACAGCCTGAAGTATATATGACTTAAAATCTAAACGCATATCAGATTTAGTTACACCTAAGTTTAGCTTCCATAGTGCCTTGCTTATCTAGCTTGATAAGAGTATTGTTGTTCAGCTGTTCTCCCAGGTAAGAATCCTGGAACACTTTCTGTGAATCATTTGTCCTCTCTCAATACTGTGCTATTTTTAAGGCATGACAATTTTCTTTTTACCTTGCTGCTGTTCAGCTTTTCTACAGATTTCTTCCTCACTTGAAAAAATGTATTACTATTTGTTCTCTTCATTAATAATAAATTATTTATCTTTTGAACCCTATTAATCTTATTTTTGTATGTGACATCATATAGATTACTTATTTTAATTACACCTCATGAGAAAGTGTAGTTCAAGTGTAACACTCATGATCTCTTAATTATGTTGAAATTCAGCACACTGCTTTGAGGCCAAGCTGTCACACTATGCTGTATTTGGTCAGGCTTTTAAATACTGCTTATCAACATTTATCAATAGCAAGTAGCAGTGGCACAGAATGGGAAAAGTTATTCCAATGCAGTTTTCCCCATGCTGTGACCCAGACCTTTACAGACTGCCAGTTTTTTGTTCCCACCCTTTAAAAATGTTCTGAGCTCTCTATCTTGATGAATTTAAAATCAAGTGTGTTTTCTATATCCTCAGCTGTATCTAGACTGATCCAGATTTTACATAGCACAGGAGAAAATGAGGAGAAAGGTAAAAACAAGACCTCACCTCAGGAATTGATTGGATAGATTCCACAAAGTTATCCAATAACGATTCCCAAATAGCCAGTTTTACTGCAACACAGAGGTGACAAAGCATAATGCTGTGAGAGGGGGTGTATGCTTTCAAGTAATCATCTACATCTGCCAAAATACAGCACTGTTTCAAGACACACTGACACAAGCATATTCATAGTGAGTTACCCATTACACTGTATAACCAATGCATTCATACATCTGCAGACAAATTTGGGTTGTGTAATGACACAAATCTACCTGCAGAACCACCTTGAGCTCAGCTCTCCTCTCCAGTGGATTGGTTCAGACTCTGAAGAGGCTTTGCTTCAGCTCAGGATGGTGACTTTGAGTGCTATACTGCATGTATGAAGCCTTTGCAAATTCCATTCCAAGGAGGTATTGCAGATGCTAGAAGTACTTAGCCTTGCTGGAATCAAGCTAACTTCACATGGTGCCAGTCAAGTTTCCACTGCATTTCTACAGCACTGTGCAGAACTTTCACTCCATCTGTCCAGTGTTTAATGAAGTGTGCTCAAGCCAGTGAGAATTAGCTTGTATAGACACCACCCCTTGTATTTGTTGAAGCTAAATCCAAACTTAGACAATCTCCAATTTTGTTTTTTTGGTGAATATAATGTTAACTTCAAATATTAAAAGTATTCTCTGGAAGTTGTTAATCCCACATAATGCCAACACTAGTTCTCCTGTGTCTCAGCTTGAGCCTTAAAGTTGATTTCTGTGTCAACATGCAGAAATCAGGCTGTTCTTTAATCTTTAAATTCCCAAGGAAGAATGAAGTAATAACATCAGACCGGTTCCAAAAATTACTTCCATCCACTCAAAAATTAAACAGAAAAGATTTAATTCTTGAACTATTTTGTGGTCATAATTGTACTGGTTAAGAAGCACAATAAACTCAAGTGCTGAGCATTCTTCATGTTCATTTTATGATTAATCCAAGTCAGCCACTTAAACAGCATTTAATTTAGCCTTTGAAAATAGACATTTCAGTTATCAATGATTATTTGACAGAGGTTAGTTTCTGTTGTGTCAAATTGGACTTTGACTATACTTGCATCCCTTAATAATACTGAACATTGCACTGTCTTCCTTTATGGTGTACATGTTTCATAGTAACATTACTTGGCACCAGTTACCTCCTGGGAATAAATCCCTTGCTCTATTATACATTGCAACACTTTTTCATGCTATGGCTTTAACAATAGCATAACTAAAGGCTTTTTTCCTTGGTAGTTCTTTCTTCAGCAGTCAAGAACCATTTAGTTATTATGCTGTATGTATTGATCAAGCAGTGTATCACTTCCAGAACATGCATTCTGTTTCTTGATGTCTTCTGTTTAGAGTTACATTCCCCCATGTAGTATATGAATCTTGTAATTTACTCTAAAAGCAGCAGAGGTTTTCCTTTAGAGTTTTCTTAAGGACAGCCTTATTGCTGCTAGTTTCTATTCCCACTTACTACCTCATTCTAAGTCTGAAGAAGCAGAGATTATTTCCTTGGTCAGAAATATCACTGCTGAGCCTGACTTCTCAGAGCCTCCTGACGTAAGTACCACCATGGCACACAGCCATTGCTAACAATCCTGGAAAATATGGTCTGAGACTCCAGTCCACACACTTGATGCTGCTTGACTTCCCAAGCTGAAAATCTGTTTTACAACTCTGTCTGGTTTAGCTGGTATCAAGTTTTTTTTTCTGTTAGTGATCTCATGATCAGTTAAGATTACTGACTGCTTTTTGATATACTGGGCTGCACTCTTGACTATCCTAGAATAATCTCAAATGTGGGCAAAGGGATGCTTAGCAGAATGTCTTTAGCAAAGTATTTCCTTAAGGAGTTTTGTTCATCTTTAAGTCGCAAAAAGTAATTCACATTTAAGGAAGACAAAGTAAGAATGAATCCTCCCACTGATGCACAATCAATCTTTATATAGGTTACCAAAACCAGACACTAAGACACTAAGTCTTCTCCAACCTTTCAATGTACGAGTCCCACTCACAATGACATTTCACTATATCTGTAGAATGAACTGATAGTACACAACAGGATGAACTTACCAGAAAGACACAGGGCATTTGAAAAGGCAAATTTCTGCAGAATTACTTCATCAGTATCTAGCTCAGAATTTAACAGGATTTCTCCTTTATGAAGCTTTGATTGCCCTCTGTAAGAACAAGATTGAAGCATCTTCATCGACTGAGCCACACAGCAAAGAAACATTTAAAGAACAATTAATGCAAGAAAGATTGGTTGTTTTATATAAAGATAATGATTATCTACACGGCTATCACGCTTGCTGCATTTTACTCATGTTCAATACAAAAATAACCAAAACAGATAACTGAAAATAAGTTCCTCAGTCTTAAGACTACATCAGGAATCACAAATTCCACAACTGGATAGTCCACACAGTTTTCAAATGGCCAGAAAACAAACAAACAAACAAAACCATAACCCAATCAACCAAAAAAAAGCCACAGTTGTCCTCTTAACAAATTACTTTAAATGAACTCAAACTCATTAGCTCAGCTTATGGCGTTACTGTCTCCTGAGTACAGTTTTTTGGTGCTGTTGGAAAATTACAAATAAATGACATCATCAGTGACATTGGTAAGTATCTCCACAGAGATCATTTGCTCTCCATAATGAAAAAAAGTAGTTAAAAAGATAGGATGGGTGCCAGATTTATCTGTCCACGTTACTCAAGATATATCTTTTCTAGGAAGTGAAGTAAGTGCAGAACACAACTTTGTATTTGAACCTAGAGCTTATCCAGAAAAATTCTGTATCTCCTTTAAAATCCAAATTGTCTCAATAATGGATATTTGTTTTCCCTGCGAGGCACTTATGTTCTCTTTGGGACAGCTGAAGAACATGTTCAGTTGTGTGGATGTGGAGCTTCATAATTTATAAACTCTAACATATAACCAAGCCATAAAGGTCGCTGACTGAAAGTGTAGCAGCTCAGGAAAATCTGTGAATTTATGTTTACTGTTCTCTCCCTGTTTTAATCATTTGAAAAAAAAAAAAATTGGGAAGTGTATTTTTACCAGTTGCTTTCACTTGAATTTGTTTTAGAAGTCTATAAGCTATTGAATAAACACAAGCACTTGAAAATACTTACTCTCCTATTCTATAGTTCATCTCTTCGTTTTCCCAGTGGACTAATGCTACTTCATATGGCTGAATTTCATGCTGTTCCAGCACTCGCATTATATTCTTCATCTAAGAAAAAGATAATACACATAACAATAGTTACTGCTGTAACATATTATCATTCTATGAAGAGCTAGCAGGTAATACATTGATGAAGTGTATTTCCTGCTTACTAATGTTATTCAAATAAAAACAAGTAGTTGTGCTAGTAACTTTTTTGTATTGGAAGGAAGCAGTTATTACCACAGTTTATTTTGGAAGCTATGTGGAAGAATTTTGTGCCTGTGAACAACTGCAAAGGATCTGTGAAAATATCACTCAATGCCTGCATTTATAAAACAAGGTAAGGATTAACCACAGCAGCAGTAAAGACTTCAATGAAGAAGTGTAACAGTGAGCTGCACAAGACTTTGGCAGATGTCTGAGTGTGGGAAGAATCTTCAGGAGAAATACATTAGGTGGCCATTTCTTCTAAAATTACTAGTTTGCTAAAATCAATAGTTTTGTTTCAGTGACCAATTATATATTCTGAATATTGTAGTTATAGATAGATAGATAGATAGATAGATATGTAATTTTTTTTTTCTTTCTCATTTTTTTTCAGTAAGGAAGTGTATATTGTTAGGCCAACCAGTTAGTTACACTGCTTCCAGGGAAGTCCTGCTAAAACAATGCCAGAATTAACTGTCAATCCATAATGCGGTATGCCAGATTTCAGGGGTATATTTACCTGGATCCTGATAGCCTAGTTGGCATTGTGGAGTATTGATCAGTATAGTAATAGTTACACTGTTAGCAAATGAAGAGTCTGTTCCAAAACTACTTCTAGCTCAGAGTAACGTTCATCAAAGGTTTACAGACCATAACTGACTGTGTGAAATTCACGTGCCTTGTAATATGCGTACTTCCAAAGTTTTGCCATTCATCTGGATAACAGGAAATTATGTTTCAGTGGCAGCTTTCTTTTAAAGTGATACAAAAGCTTCCATTAATCGACAGGAGTTTATTCCCGGCCCAGCCTAATTTTATGGAAGGGACTACCTGTCACACAGTACATTTAATGAGAAATCTTTTGGATTCATTAAGTGCAAACTCTCGCAATGAGAGCTGATTGGATCACAGAATCACCTTCTAACAAAACTGATGCACTCCACCTTGAAGCTATTTTTTTTTTTTGTTTTTGCCCTTGCTATTTTTGGTAGGTGTATGGGAATTGCTAAGTCATGGCCTGAACCAATGACTGAGCACCTGGTGAAGGGACACAGCCAGCCCTGGGAGCACAGGTGGAACCAGGTTCCATGCCTCCCTACGCCTCATTTTAGGGCTGGCTGCTACCAGGAAGGATTTCTACTTGGTGATCCCTTTCTTTGGAGTGTTTGGTAAGCCCTAATCCTTAGGATGGGTAAGCGAATATTTCTTTCTTTTTGGGTAATTTAGAACTGGTTATCTGTTATTATCTTTCCCTACAGTGAGGAGGATGTTGCACAACCTTACTGCTGAGGCATCTGAAAAAAGTATTTTACAATTTCAAATCTCAGTTACAACAGCCTATAGTTGTTACTACTTCTGTTAAGTGTTCATTAGCTTAGACTAGTTTTTCCTTCCCTAGTATTCGTTCTGGAGTACTTTTAAAGAGCAATTTTGTCCATTCATAGCGAGTCCCTACACGCCATTTTACTGAATTACTTTCAGTTTCAGTTTAACAGGCCTTTTTTTTTTTGCCTTGTTTCAGTTCATTAAAACTCATGCATAAAAAAATATTGCCCTGTATTTGAGCAAGGTTTTTGAAAACTAAAACAAAAAACTAAAACTTTTCACAGAATAAAAAAGGCAGTTTTTCTCTTTATAAATAAAACTAACAAAAGCACCAATTAAAGTTGCTTCTGGCAGAAAGAGTTTATCAAGTTTTCAGTGGTGCTTAAGCATGTAAAAGCTACATGAGAATTAGATTTTTCAGAGGGCAGAGGTGCCCAATTCATAAAAATCAACAGGGGTTGGTCAGCTGGTCTTCAGCAACACCTGTGAGTCAGGAGCACAATTACTGCCATAGCAGCCTGCAAGGTTTGAAGAAAGACCTAGTGTATTTGTAGGCTAGCTGAGGTAACCCTCCAAAACAGACAGAAAATCAGGAGCATTTCAGGTCTGATACAGAAAAAACAAACCTGAATGCAGAAGTAGTTCACATCTGGAAGCAACCACTGTGTTTTCATTTATGTTAGTGAAAATCTGTCCATAAATCGTCTGCCTCAGTATCATCTGTTTAACATACCAATTAGTTTCACATACACTGCCTACAGAGAAGATCAATGCCTTTATCTATCTAAAGCTCACATTTACTCAAGCACAGTAAAAAAAGTATTTTTAAATAACTAGAAATACGTTCATAAAAATAAATATGCCTGGAGCATACCCCTCTTGGTGGACAAATAATATCAAATTACCATAAGGGATACATTATTTCAATATTGATATATTTTTAACAATTATACCAACCAAGGAAAACCTTCCTTTAGGAAAAACTGCTCACTGGTAAAAGCATAAGACAGTGTAAAAACCAACTGTTTCCAAACTATGCCCCTTGCAAGTCATCCAAATGTAAGTTTTGACTTAAATGGCCCTGGAGTGATCTTTTACTGCTCATTTATTTTCCTTCACATTCATGTGTTGATTTTGTTCTGATTTACTTTTTCAGTATATATTGCTGTAGGGGGGAAAAAAAATTCTGTCAACCTCACGAGATTAAGGTTTCAGGTTTTTGGACTTAAGAGATTTCACCCCCTTTGTATGTTACACATCCACTTGCTTATTTTGCACAGAAAGACAGGCTTAAAAGGTCACGTATAGGTGATGTATCAGCAACCCACACGCTTGAGGGCAGCAGCCGCACTCCTTAGAGAAGAATCAGTCCTTTTCCTTCCTGGAGAGATCCAAGTTCTCAGAAAAATACCAAAGCACAATGGGCTTTGTGGGACTGACAAGACATCTGCTGATGAAGCTTTAACAAACGGTTTTTCTTTACTTACACTTTTCTCATCCACATTCCAAAACACAACAGCCCCTTCCCTGTGAATTCAAGGAAAAACTGAGGTGTAATTACACTATTTTAAATGTACTTTAATGCAATACTCAAATTGTATGGTGGCAATTCTTGACACTATGAATTATAGAATTTAATACTAATGCACAGAGACTATGCAGTAGTTGCTTTTTATCCATGCTTCAGTGTAAAACGTTAAAATGTCTGGTTTCTTTCCCTGTGTAAGTATGATTTTTTTTAAATTCTGAATCATTTAGATTGGACAGTTATTCCTTGAGCTTCATGAGGTGGTTTTTAGCAAACTGCACTGCTTCTGCAGGAATGCTATTTGTAAGGTAATGTTTCAGACATAGTTTATAACTTACCTGAAGAAAAAAATCATGCCAGGATCATCTTCTTTTGCAGATTTCTCAGCACCCATCACCAAAACATTCGCAGCATCTAGTTTGAAATAAATGAACAAACAAAAGTTCAAAATGCAGAATTACTTAAAGTTCTAAATGCAGTAGCTGCAAGCACAATTCCTGTTCAAAGTCAGTTCTGTATCCTCTTTTTCTGATTAAAAAGCTATAATATAAAGCTACACAGCTTCTCTGAAGCGTCACACGCTAGATAGACTCAGCTATGATGTTGAACTGGAAAAACTGTAGTTAATGAAATACAGTTGTTTTAAAGAACAAAAGACTTCAGAAGAAACTGATGCAGGGCACAGTAAATAACCAAGAGCAGAATACAGAAGGCAGAAGTGGACACGTAGCATGGAATGATGGAAAGAAGCCCACAGTTGCAGAGTAATTACCAACATCTCTTTCTCTTTTGTTTAGCAAGGGACTAACCTGCACTCAAATTTTGCTGACTGTGCTTTGATAGAAACCTGAAAAAGCATACCCCCAAGACAGCAGAAGTTACATCTATGTTTTCCTTTGGATCAAAGCATGCTTTTGAAACAAATCTTCTAGTCACTCTCATTTACCATACTTTCGATTTGCATTGCAGAAATGTCAGAATGCACAAACTGTATTTATTTTGCATGAAATTTAACTGAAAAACGAATTCCAGCCACTAGCAGGGGTTCATTACAGGAGACCAGACTCAAGCCAGTGTATGTAGAATGCCTCCAGTATGGATCCTGAGTTCTCAAACCGGTTTTTTCTCCTGCTCACTACATAGCTGCTTTGCTGTACTACTTTGCTAATGCGGACATTGCTGCACTGGGGCCAGGCAGACTAAGGTGACAGGAAGAGATGTCTAAATAAGCATAGGATGAGCTTTTGCTAGCAGCTGAATTGAGACCGTGCAGCTGATCTGTATGAACTCTTTAAAGATTTCTCTTTCGCTTGCTATTCCAGTTCAGGAACAACTGATTTGATGAATCACTAGGGCAGGTTCTGGGTGTGAAGCTGGAGTTTACCACAGAAGAAACATTTGTCTGCACTTTCTCATCTGCCTTTTCAAGTACTGCCCTTACTTAATCTTCCTTTATCCTCCCCAGATAAAATATGTACAGTGAGTGTCCATTTGGTTCCTTACAAGGAGGGCTACAGTATCAACCTCTAAAATATTTGTAAAGTGGTTGAAAAAGAATGATATGAGGAAGAACACTACAAAGCAACAAATTCACACTAATTGCTAATTTAGATTTCTATATGCTAGTATTTTTCAGACGTATGAGATACAACTTTTGACTGGGTAACTCAGCATTGTTACATCTACATACCAACCACCACAAAGTTTGCTGTCACTATCAAATAAACTTTCATTACTTCCTGAACAATTTTGACAGAGTATCTATTGTAAGGAGTCAAAAACACACCGTAAAGAAATGAAAGAATTGGCAAAACCCACACTCCCAGGGTAAAATACCAGCAACAGTAACATAAGCATCACAGCAATTCGGGTAACTCTATCCTGAAGCTCTCAGAAGAGTGTTCTTTTTAATCCAAAGGAACTACGAAAGAACATGGAGCCTATACTATGTAATGCCTTCTCTCTGAGAAAGACAGACAGTTCTCAAGTAACCTTTATAAAGATCCACCAGAGTACTGTCACGCTTGGTTTCTTCAGAGAGGCAGCCAGACATTTGATAACCTCTCATGAAATGTCCATGAAGGATATCTTTTGCTTCACATAATCTGTTCATTCACAAAAAATAATAAATCTACTGCCAACACATGAAAATCACAGCTGTTCTAGGGTTAGAAGGTCTTTAAGCTATAAAAAGCTCTATTTGTTTTTCTCCTGTAGTGTGCTCCAGCTATTTCCATGCCATACCTTCCCAAGTCTTCAGAGATACTTTGTATAGATCCGGAACCAATTATTACTGAAGGGAACCATTCAACAATTACCAGGATATATTTGGCCCAGTATAAAGTATCGACTACATTCTCTTTACCAGAACTAAATATCTATATGTGTACCTTCTACATTTCATGTAGTCAGCAACATCCTCTCGTGTGCCTCCAGCCCTCAGCAACTTACATTAATAGAAATGTGGGAATGGAAAGAAGGTGCAACACTTCAAAATACAAAACTGTTGACAGCTGAACCTCTGGTATCACATTACTGAAACACTGATTAAAATAAACTTTCAGAAAATTTTCAGTTAGTGAATTTCTATAAAAGAGTTTCTATTAGGAAATCTCATTTATGTTTTCTTGAATGTATTCTTCTCAAGACTATCTGATTTTTTTATTCTTTTAATATAATAGTAATTCAGGGAAAAATTATTATACAGTAACAGCAAAATGGTTCACTTTGATTTTTATTTTATTCAAAGCAAATGAAATTTTAAATAGAGCTATATTTATACATTCCAGGGTATTTCCAAAATGAAAACATATGAAGTTATAAAAATTAAATATCTCACCCATATTTCATTTCCCAAGATATAATACCGCTTTTAAGGTGCTTTAAAAATCTACCTCTGGGCAAACTTGTTATTTCAACATATCCATGGGAAGTCAGGTCATGACACAGATTACCAAGATGATATTCATCTGCTGTTGCAAAGGCTGTGCACTGCATCAGATTCTGTGCCAAAGGAATAAAGATTTGAGTTAGGGAAAGGCTGAAGCAAGATGTACACAAGACATGCTCATGTTTGTCTCAAAGCAATCACAAGGGTGATGTTTTTCATTTGTTCATTCTCTTCTGTTGTATCATTGTTCTGCTGTCCACTTGGTGTACAAATACTAATGAGATCAGTCACTCCCTGTTAAGTGGGGAAGCAAACATATCCCACATTCAATGACTGAGACCCAACTACATGTCACAAGTCACATGAAGTCACAAACTTCATGATAGGGCCACAAATGGAACCCCTCTTCCCTGATTGGCAGTGAAATGCTTTGGCAGTACAGCCACGGTTGCTCACTCCTCTCACAGCCTATGACGTACTTGGCTGACCAGCAAAATCAAAAGCAAAACACCATGAATACCAGCCTATAGATCTCTGAAGATGCATGGAGTTAAACTATCCCAGTCTGCTTAGCTCCAGCTGCAAATACTTGTTCTGAGCACTGAGCTTACTGCCCAGGTAACCCCTGGGACCTAAACCATCATAGCACTGCAGCACAGCAAGGCACAGACCTTCAGTGCCAGCCCAAATGCTGCACATCATCAGTGTTTCCCTCCGAGTGAAATCTTGCACTGACAATACAGTCTCAACTGAAAGCACAGCTGAGTGGTACACAACAGCCAGAGTTTGTCTCCATGTTCCACAGTCCTACATAAATAAAATGCTACAGTGAGACAAGTAACTGGCACCATGCAAGAAGATGAGGAAAAGTGACACTGACACTGACACTGGCAATAAGATCAACTCACGCATGGCGGAGAAATCAAACATCTGTGTAAAAGCTTCCCTGATGAATTCAGCAAGGCACAATAAACCGGTCTACAAAACCTACTCCCTATTTTAAGTACATTTCTTTGTTCTGATACCTCATATATCCCATCACAGTGTTTTTCAATACAATGTAATGGAAGATATCCAGAAAGCAATACTTCTCATTGCAGATCAGTTGCTTTCCAGCTTTTTGTAACTAACACAAGGGGGATGTGACTAACAACAAATGCACAGAAGAGCTGTACTCATCTGCAAGTGCTTATATCCACAGTATGCTTCAACTTAAAATTCAAATAATATTCTCATGGCACTCATACACTGTCAAACTGAAACACGTGAAAGGGTGCTCTGCTCCTTAAGGAGGCCCAGAACCAGTAAGCTGGGTCAAGGCCCATGTTTAAACTTTTTTTTCTTCGTATTAAGGTGCTGTTATTCCCAAAGTTTTGTTTACATCAATTTCTTTCAGTGACCACTAACAGAGAGCAATTCTGCAGTCATGTTCCCATGACTGTGCCATTAACACAGTTAACTGCAAGTAACAGTGCAACAGAACTGTATATTCAGTTCTCTTGCTACAGTATCTTTTGAAAAGTTGCATTCTTACAGTATCATCTGTACAAATCCATTTCCAGCATCTAAACTGCCAGCGCAAATTACACATTTTAGACTCTTCTAGAAAGCTCTGGTTAACATAAGCACACACACGCTGCCATGAAATCCTTCAGGGAGCACAGCGTTATCTTCTAACTATATCACCTGACAATCCTTACCCTGATCTACACTTTCTGTAGTTAAATTTGTTATTGTTCACTTCAAGGTAGATGTGCTACAGGACAGACTGTTTAATTTATGGCTCTGAGTTTAGTTGTCACGCAAAGACTTTAATTACCACCAGAAGTTGGCTGCCAATAAGTGCCTGAAACAGCAGTTTGCATATGTAGCTTGGATATGGTTCTTTTTTTAAAATTATTTTTAAAGAATGCACTGTTTCACCTTTACTAAAATACTGTTCAGTGAGGGACATTTAGCATGGGTGTAGAGCTTAAGACACCTATAATTTATGTGTCCACAAGCATTCTAGGTGTTCAGGCTTCCATCATAGTTGATGGAGATGTAACAAGGAGGTCTACAGTCAGCTCATCCTAAAATACCTGCATTAACTGCCTGGTAAACCTCTATCCCACACTGCCTGTTATGTCACCTTCACCTGCAAACTTGCCTAAAATAAAGGCAGCTCTGTCCTGCTGACAGCATCTCCAGCCACTTGCCACCCTTCTCTTCCTGGCTGCACCCGGGTTCATTAAGATACAGTTCAGAGCTCCAAAGCAACCATCAGATCAGCCATTCTAAGTACTCATTTTCTGTATCATCATCCACCCAGCAACTGCACAGGAACTATCTTTCTTATAACTCATCCCTTGCATTTTGAGAATGCAAACATTTAAGAATTTATTATTATTTCATTTAGGTAAGAAAACCTATAAAATGAACTTAAACTTATCACCGCAGGCATTCATCTTTATCTCGAGGATACTGGTACTCCACCTTCAGTTGATTTTCAAGCTTTGTCTAGGCAACATCATTAAAAATCAGCTTAAAGGTTTCTCATGTCTTGTGAGACCTTGTGAGATGAGTAACTAATCTGAGTAGCAGTGACACTATGCACTGAATGGCTAACCAAACCAGTTATCACGTTGGAGTAAGCCCTCCATCTATCCTGAAAAACTGGTCTAATGATCATTTATCATGCTGGTGCATTCTATCTGCAGACAGCACCTGAAGATGAGTGCTTAGAAGGAGCTTATCCATGGACCATTCTGCAAAAAGAAGTTGTTAATGAGCCCATCAAACAGAAAACATCAGGGACCTCAGGGTTCACCTAACTGAAAGCCTAATGACTCTACAGCACATCTGCAGGGGCAGACTGTGAAGGGAGGCAGCAGCCAGCTCTAAGCTGCACTGGAAACATGGCTTATATTACTGGAGGGATCTTGGTTACTTCAAAATAAGCAGAGGAAGACAAGATCAGCTTTTTTGTGACACCAGGATTTAGAGAAAAATGACATGGTGAAAAAAAAAATACATAAAGGATTCTCCATTTGTGATATCAGTCATCTTACAGAAAACAGTCTCATCTTTCAGTTAGCTCTTTACATTAAATATCTACAAGGGAGTATACAAATAGGTTCCAAAGGGAAAAAAAAAAAAGCAAAAAAAAAAGCAACTTACTCCAAAATGCTGTCAGCCTGCACAGGGTCAGGGTGACAGCCTGGCAGTACCCCTGTAGATGGAGCTGTATGTTTGACAAAACCACACACTGTTTGTTTAAAAATCGAAAATGGTTTGTTAGGTCCTAGTTTACATGATTTCTGGCACACCATTTTGCAGTGTGGGATCTTCCCCAGAAATGATATTAGTTCAGTCTATCAGGCAGAATGTTTTCAATTTCTTCAAAATGGAAGAAAGTAAAAATAGCATTCAACCTTAGGTATCTAAAAAAAAGTCACTTAAATCCACCCAAGAGCATAAGCAGAAAGCTTGGAACAGTACGCAGTATGTTAAGAGAAAATTCTGTATTTTATTCTTTCAAAGCAACAGGAAAATTCAAGTGGGAAATGAATTTTCTACAATGGAGACTCGATGGTACATTATACCATACTCCTGTTAGTCATACAAGATATTAAACAGGAGCTTATACGTCTGGAAGGCAATCATTAAGACCTCACTTTCTGTGCTCACATTCAGCAGACCATGTAATAGGTGTATTTTGCAATGTGCAAGCTATTTCTGGAAGCACAATACTTGTCTCAATCTCATCTATAGTACTATTTTGTTAGCAACATGCTGGAACTCCGTTGTTATTGTAGCTTGAGGAGAACAATAACATTTCCAACTCCATGATTTTCCTTGGAGATCTTATATTCAAGTGTGCTTACAGTCTGCTTTGGCTAGAATTAGTGGGGCTCACAAAGACCTATCTCAGGGAGTAACAGCTACAAGTATGCACTGTTCCAGTTACTCATCCTGTTTACCTGATTTTATCCACAAGAGATTGTTGTGGCAGTTAATCTGTAGACCCAGGAGTCTGGTGATCCAGGTGCTATTTCTACACATGGAATAATCTTGCTCAACTTACACAGACTACACCTGCAGCTCAGTTCTTCCACTGATTGCACAGAAATAAACTTCTATTTTTCTGAAATACTGCGAGGCTTCGAATGCTAAGTGTAGTGATCCTCATTCACATGTTGCTACAAAAATATATTTTATCACTACGAATAAATTTGCTGTAGTGTTAAAGCTATTTCACTATGGCTTGAAATGTGGTGTCTGTTTATAAAAAAATGGAAAAACACAGGCATACTTGAGAACACAGTCTAAATTGAAAGTTTCTGAAACCTAGCTGGAATATTTGTAAACTTGGTATTATTTATTCTCATCTTGATTTCTGTTAGCAATAGAATGAAGCCTTGATACGGGATGGAATTGGACAAGCAAGTATACCTATGGAAAGTTAAGTTACTCTGAAAGGCAGATCTTGCTCCTCAATATTAAACTTGAGAACATTGCCTTCAATAATTTTTAAACGATTTCCTGTCTTTCTGTTTTAGAAATCAACTCTCTTCACTCCCCTTTGTTACATATTGCTGGTAAAACTTCATCTCCAAACCATCAGACACACCTGTTTCTACCAAGTTAGCTTGTGTCTGCAGAGTTTCAAATCCTCTGAGGTCACGGTCAGGTAAATAATAAAGTCCTTTTCATCAAATAAATATGTTCATTTCATTAAAATGTTAATCTAAACCCAAATCTAAATCTGAATTAAATTGATCAAGTTCCCTCAACATTATATAGACTGTAAATTCTCTTCTTTACCTTCATGTCGTCTGACAGTAGTGGCTGGTTAGCTCTGGAGGGCTGCTTGGTCCTTGGTGCCTTTGGTGGCCTCTTAACTGGCTGGGTACTTGGTTTTGGAATAATTTTACTAGTTGATACAATTGTGTAAAATCTTGATGATATGTTCCCGAGCTTTTTAATATACTCCACATTGAGCGTGTAGTTTTCCATTGCTGCCAAGCCAAAACGTTTCCAGGGTGGGAAAAACATCTCCCCACCCTGATAATAAACACTTTTTCCCAAAGCAGATACATTTCCTTGGATCATTTGCCAATTCTTGACTTGCATAGAGGGCCTTGTCAAACAAGGGGAAGCAGTCTTTGGAGCATACAAGTTTCCAATCTTAGCTGTTCCGTGATCCGTTCTGTCCACATCATTATCCAGCTTTAGAAGATGATGTCCAGTTTTATTAAATCTTTGGCATCGATGTATTGTAGTCAAAGAGTGAAAAGATGTAGTCTGAAGGTGCAGGAGTTTCAGTCTCATTGCTTCCCTCTGAACTGTATTTAAAACAAATAAAATCCTCTATCAGACCTTGGGAAAGGAATATTATTTTTCCCTTAGCTAAAAGGTGAGCCATATTTTTTTTGTGTATGTTAGTCCTCCTAAACACACAGTGATGGGTCTGAACAGCTTTTTCCCAGTCCTATGGGACTATTCTAAGAGCAAAGCACATTAATGAACTGTGTGCTTGCAATACATGGTGGGAGAAGCAGAACAGGCTGCTGGACCAACAGTTTAGCAGGTGCCTTTTCCATTTGCTGCTCACTCTGCACAGCAGTCTGTGCTCCCAGTAACCCAATGATTTAACTACTCATAAGCAAGCACTCAGCTTAAAGAGGGTTTAGGCTGCTATGTGAGTCCCTCATACACTACAGAAGCAAGAACCAGATTACTGTGTGCTATACTGAAATACCACCTACAGAACACGCATAGTGACTGACATCAGCGGAAGGTCTGCATCACAAGCATCCAAGAGCTGGTTGGATGTGGCTCTGGGCAGCCTGGTCTAGTGGTTGGTGACCCTCCACATAGCAGGGGGTTGAAACTAGATCTTTGTGGCCCTTTTTAACTCAGGCCATTTTATGATTCTATGAAGAGCAGATCCAGCTCAGCTTGGCTGTCATGAATGAAGGGAGAGCCAAATAAATCAGGTTATGGTGCTGAACCCACAGTTAAGTAACAGTGCAGTACAGACTGCAAGGCCTGCTGGCAGGTCTACCTGTGCTGACAGGAATGTGTACTGTTATTCCAATAACCCAAAACAAAAATGTCTTCCTGGATGTATGCAGTAATCAAATGAGAAAGCAGGCTTAGCACCTCAGTGGGTGTGCTGCACTTGCTGCAGTGCCAAGTCCCTTCCCCCACCTGCTGTCATTAACCAGGAACACTTCTCTAGTGGCACAGAATCAACGTTCAGCACCTTATTAACAAAAAGAAAAGTCGGTGAGTTGCACTGTTTGAGGAAAAGTCAGTGCACGGCTGTTCTTCACGAGTTATGTAAGGGATCTTCACCATCAGCTGTGCACCTCACGCAGCACCGAGATCACCATTTTCTGGTGGGATCACATCACTGCGTGCAGAGGAGAGAGTGAGGCCCAGATGCTGACAGGGCTCATTCTGACACAATGGAGGAGCGGCGTGCTAATACTGACAGAAGCTGCACGTAGTCGTACAAAAAGAGGCAAGGAACACATTTAGGCTACAACATAAGAAGTAACTGATGTCGGTAACTGTACATGCTTTTCACTTGCGACGTTATTCCAGCCTGTAAACGTGTCTCTGACAGCCGCACTGGAATAAGCGTATTACTTTCATTTCAAGCTCCATCCAGCGTTCAGGAACGGTACACAGGCGTTGGGCAGACTGCGGGGAGCTGTAAGGCAGCACCACAATCCTGCGCCGCCTCACGGCGCCGCGGCCGCTGCTCGGAGCGGGAGGCCGCCGCCCCACCCCCGCTCCCCGGGGGAATTCCGCAGCGCCCGCCCGGCATGCGCGCGGGGGAAGGGCTGCGGGCCTCCCATTGGCTGCGCGCCGGGGCGGGCGGGAAGTTAGCCGCCAAACAGCCAATGGGGAGGGGCGACGTTCCGCCCGCAGAGGAAGAACGAGGCGGCGGCGCTCCCCCCGCCCCCACCGTTCCCCTGAGGCAGCAGCCGCGGCCCAGGCGCCGCCCCGCGGCCGAGGGGCGCCTCGGCAGCGCCCACCGCGTCGCCCCGCGCCCTGCCGCTCGGCTACAGTCGCTGCGGTATCCGGACATGAAGGATAAACAGGAGAGAGACACCGGCGACGTTCCGGCTGCGGCACTGGCAGCCGGAAAGAACAAACACCGCCCCGCCGTACGCTACAGGCCGGGCCCTTCCCTCGCTCCACAGTCGCCCGCCCTCCCGCTCTCTGCGTCCTCCGCGCCCCCCGTGGCTCCGGTCGGGGCCGTCCTGCTCCCCGCCCCCTCACGGCCGCCCGTCGCGGCTCGCACAAGGCGGCGGCGAGCACCCGGCGCCGCCCGCCCTTCCCCTCCCCCCCGCGCTCCCCGCCCGCCGCCGCGCGGGAGGGGGAGGCGGCTCGCGCCGCGCGCCAGCACTGACCTGGGGGAGGGGGCGCGCCTCTCTCCGCCGCGCGAGCCGCGGCCCCGCCCACCGCCCGCC